TTCGTTATAGGATTAATCCGTTCCAGGCCCCCAAATACAACCACTTAACACTGAAAAAATTCTGTGGAAAATGTAAAAAAATACGGTACTTTATCTTACCTTAGTGTTGTACAGCATGCAGGACAGGAGGCAGAGGGGGAGGGGGGAGGAGAGAATTATGGAGAAGAGGTGGAAGGAGAGGAGTCATTCTTCCTAGCCCTCTTTGGTGACTGTCTCACAGGCACTTTGTCTGTAGGTTCTTTTGTTACCTTTGTAAAGAAGGAATCCAGGGTTGGCTGCTTCAACCTTGATTTCTGGACCTTCCAAAAGTAGTTCATAACATTGTCATTAAACACACTGATGGCCTTTTGCACAGAACCAACATCAGGATGATAATCCTCAGCAAGCTTGGACAGTTTACTCCAGCAAAAGAACGCATCCTTGAGATCTTTGGCTGGAATGATGCGGCATTCCTCCTTGTCCTCATCCTCCCCTGACTCCTCAGAAGTTAAGCTCCGCTTCAGTGTCTCATTTTCCTCTTTGTGAAGCTCAAGCAGCTCCTCAGTGGAAATTCCTTACTGTGCTCTTCCACCAACTCCTCAACATCATCATCATCCACTTCCAGGCCCATGGAATTGCCCAGAGACACAATTTCATGAACAACAGCCTCTTCTTCAAACTCTTCGAAGCCTTCAAATTCTCTTTGAAGGACTCATTCAGGCCACAATGGCCTCCAAGCAGCACAAAGACACCTCACAGTAACCTCTTTCCAGGCTGAGGTAATTAAAATTACAGCGTCTGCTATATTGAAGTGACTCTTCCAAAATTCCTTCAAGCTAACATCACTGGAAGAAGTGGATGCAAAACATTTTCTAAACAGTGCCTTTGTGTACAACTTCTTAAAGTTAGAAATTACCTGTTGATCCATGGGCTGGATGAGAGGTGTTGTGTTGGGTGGCAAGAAGTGCACAGTGATGAAGTTGAACTCCTCTGGCAATTCAACCATCAAATTAGGAGGGTGGGCTGGTGCATTGTCCATCACCAACAAAGCTTTCAGTGGAAGATTGTTCTCCCTGAGGTATTCCCGAACACTGGGTCCAAACACCTTAATCATCCACTCAGAGAATAAATTCCTGGTCACCCAAGCCTTTGGGTTTGACCGCCACATAACACCAAGGCGGGTCTTCCTAATTTTTTTGAAAGCTCTGGGGTTTTCTGCGTGGTACACAAGGAGCGGCTTTATTTTGCAGTCACCAGAAGCATTAGCACAAAGAAGGAGGGTAAGCCTGTCTTTCATTGGCTTATGGCCAGGGACAGAAGTTTCCTCCCTTGTAATGTATGCACGGCGAGGCATTTTTTTCCAAAAAAGTCCAGTTTCATCACAGTTGAATACCTGCTGAGAAACAAAGCCTCCCTCTTTAATAATATTCAAAAAAATGTCATGGTGTTCCTGAGCTGCTTCCTTATCTGCACTAGCAGCATCACCATGTCCCACAACACTATGTATTTTATTTCTCCTTCTGAAACCAGTAAACCACCCCTTGGTACCCCTAAACACTGGCACATCACTATCACTTCCACTGGGAGTCTTGGCTTTAAGGTCCTCAAACAATTGTCTGGCCTTCTCACATATTATACCTTCACTAATGCTATCACCTGCCATTTCTTTCTCCTTTATCCACACTAAGAGTAAATTTTCCATCTCCTCAATCACATTACACCTTGCTTTGCTAAGTCTAGAGATTCCCTTAGCCACTCGCACAGTTTTCAACTCCTCTTTATTCTTCAAAATCGTACATATAGTCGATTTAGCCATCCCATATTCATCGCTAAGTTTCACAATGCTTGTTCCATTCTCACGTTTCTTTATGATTTCTTTCTTAGTTTCAAGAGTTATGAGCTTTCTCACTCACTTTGGACGATTAATTGTTACAATTGTACACTTGTATAACAAAATATTTATACAAATAACTCGTATTTCCACGTCAAAAGACGAAATTTCAACAATAACAGTGGTGCACTGGCTACACAATGAGACAAAGATGGCGCCTGACGCTCTTGTTGTGGGTCGCGGTACAACAATATTCATGCACCAGACGAAATAGTCCAGTATTCATCCGCGTTCGTTGTAGGAGTTGCGTTCTTTATAGCATTCTCAATTTTATAGGAATATTCGTAGTAGGATCCATTCGTTATAGCATACCCCACTGTACTTATTATCGAGTCACAATGTCACAATTTTTTTTGGTAATTCCCTTTAAAATGGCTGGCAAGCGTAAAAGTGAGAGTTCTCGGTGCTGAGAAGAAAAAGACACCCAGAAATTTATGTAAATCTACCCAAAGATACAGTTGAAAATTTTTTACATTATTAAAATGTACTATGTACTAAAATTTTTATCTCATGTGCAAAATATATGACATTTATATTCAAATTAATCACTATCTTATAAGAATTCCAGCAATGTAAATTATATTTTTCCCGGTCACTTCTATGACATTTTACAAGCAAAAAACAAAAACTCATCCAAAAGGACATAAATAGACAAATAAATACTTCACTAGACCTTCGGCGCCTAACTGTCAGACATGTCAGTCACCCCTCTCCACCCCCCCCTCCCAGTAAAGGTTTGGTGGTTATACAGTAGGCTTTAAGTCTTTATCTTATATAATATTACAGACTAAATTTAGGAGAATATAATTTACATTGCAGGAATCCTTGCAAGACAGAGAATAATTTGAATATAAACGTCATATATTTTGCACAAGAGACAAAAACTTAAGTACATTTAATAATGTAAAAAATTTCAACTGTATTTTTGGATAGATTTACATAAATTTCTTCATTTATTTTTATTCATTTACACGCACACACCATACTAAATGATTACAGTACTAAAATTGTTGTCTAGTGCAAACTATAGCTTGTTTATATTCAAATTAATCACTATCTTACAAGAATCCCAGCAATGTAAATTATATTCACCCAGGTTGTTTGGGTGGCAAATTATAAGAGAAAAGCTTCGTCACTCTTAAGGACTGATAAATAAACACAAAGACCTTCCCCACCAACTGTCAAACATATCACCTCACTTTCTGCTCCCTCCCTCTCCCCCATCTGCCCAGCCAGGGTTTTAGCTTTAATTTTTTATCTTCTATAATATCTCAGACTAAAGTTAGGAGAATATAATTTGCATTGCTGGAATCCTTGCAAGAAAGTGAATAATTTGAATATAAACGTCATATATTTTGCACAAGAGTTAAAAATTAATCACTGTAGCTGCACGTGAACCAGGTATATGCTGATAACCACAAGGAAAGAAGAAAACACGAAGTTCCCAAGCGCTTTCGTGTAATTCACAACTTCAGGGGTGAGTACAGACTAAGGAGAAGTACAAAACAAGGTGTATATATACAGAGGAGGGTGAGATCAGGTCCACAATGGTCAGGTATTAGGTAGTGACCCTACTAATCTTTGAAAAGCACTGCAACGGTCGGTAGTCAGGTCAGAGGGTAAGGTGACCCAACCTTGACACCTGGTTACAAATCTTCTTAATTACAAAATTGTCCAGTTTGTATATGCCATTACTCAAATTCATGTTGAATGCTTCGGTATGTTTAATAAGACTAGATTCTATAATGTTCCTACTGTCAATTGAATTACAAGGTAATAATGAGGAGGCATTATCCCAGTCAATGCAATGCTTATTATCCCTCAGATGAAGAAACAGAGCAGTGGATTCCTGGCCTGTCCTAACACTATATTTATGTTATTTAAGTCTAGTTACAAGATCTTTACCTGTCTGGCCGAAGTAAAACATATTACATTCCTTGCAAGGAACTTTATAAATGCAACCAATTGTGTTGTTGGGGGAGTTCTTGATTAACATTTGTTTAACAGTGCTTGAGTTTTTAAATGCCACATTGATATTCCAGGTTTTTAGTTGTAAAGGAATTTGAGAGAAATTTTTGTGAAATGGTAATACTTAGAGATTCTTATTGTCATAGGTGGGCTTGGGATCAGTTCTATAAAAAGATTTCTTAGTTCAGGCATTTGTCTATGAAAGATCTAGGGTATTTAAGGTTTGAGCCAATATTATAGATATACTGTATTTATATTCCTCATCAATGAATTCCGGGCTGCAAATTCTCAAAGCACGTAAAAACATTGTTGAAAAACCTGACTGTTTGACTCTATTATGGTGGGCAGAATAATAATGAATGTATGAACACACATTAGTAGGTTTTCTATAAATACTGAACTTAAAGGTGTTACCTATTCTGTGTATCAGACAGTCTAGGAATCGCAATTTACAGTCATGCTCTAATTCTACAGTGAATTTGATCGAGGGGGCTAAGTTATTAAGTTGTGGCAGGAAAGAGGATGTTAAAATTTTTAATATTTATCATACAAAGTAGATATAAATACGTGCCCGTACACGCGCAGTCTGGGGGAGGGAAGACGCTCGGGGGAACCAATCAATTATTTGTAGTTATAGACGAAGGGCATGGCTTATGGGCCAGGTTAGCGTGTAAAGGGTTTAGGACTCTAGAGCCGTGAGTGTTAATCACACGTCTGGCAGCGTGTGTCGGCAGCATCAACTTTCTCACAGTTGTTCATCCGAGTTTTATATTGTTTCATGTTCATTATTTTATTTTTTACCATAAATCCAATAAAAAAGAATTAATTGGATGGAAAAGACAGTGGTAATTAAATAATTAGGTTATTTTTCATAATTTCATAAGATTTCTAGGAGAATTAAGGAAGTTTGTACGTATTTAGCTAAACATGTATCAAGGAATAGGCTGAGGGAGGGGCTAAAAGAGCCCCATCCAGCACCAGGTAGGGTTAAGACATGTTGGGAAGGCTTTCTTTTTTCTTAGAAAATGTCTCAGCATTTACAATGGGAGTCTATGGTAAATTGGATGCAAATTACAAAAAATGCATTTTAAGAAAATCTTTTTCAGAAACAGAACCCTTTCATACCCAGCTTGAATGTTTACTTTCATAAAATTTGACTTACCTGTCCTCCAGCTTTTGCCTCTTCGGAAGCATGGGACCCAATTCCCCAGAACTATCCATCTCCTTTAAAATGTCTAAGCCTCCAACCAGCTCCCCATCAATGTACAGCTGAAAATCAAATGAATTTTAATATTAACTTAAAAGAATAAAAAGAGGTGAGTTACTGTACAGTTAAGTGCATGAGAAATACAAATTGGATAAGGTACTAACTGAGGTCTGGTGGAGTAGGTGAAGAGGGATGGCTAGAGATGCTGTGGATATATGAGGATGTGATGATGAAAGATGATGTACAGAGATAAAGTAGCAGATAAAGGGTGAATCTCTTTCAAGGTGAAGAAAGCTTTAACATACTTTACGAAGGAAAAAGGATGGGTTAAGCCGTAAAGGGGAAGGGAGAAGCAAAAAATATGTGCCATATACTAATGATGTACAAGATGACCTTTAAAGCTATTTTCTTCTTTTCTTTTTTAATTCTCCTCAAACTAGGAGTCATCTTACAATATATAATACAGTAAAGCCTCTGATAACAACGGTTCGACCAACAACTTTTCATATTTAAGACCCTAGTTAATTTAGGATCCAATTCAATTTACGTCCTTACAGTATTTCATTCGTATTTATGACCAAAATAAAATAAAAATGAAATAAAATTACATTTTCATATAAATAATAACTAAATCCCAATATGTATTATAAAAAAAAAATACTATAAAAAAAAGAAGAGCGCCTTGCGCAAAGCTGCCTGGCTAATGAGTGGTGATGCGCATCGCCAGTAAACAACAGTCGGAGCTTGGCGGTCCCTTTGTTTTCACGCATCTGAACAGGAACTGGAGAAAAACTTTCTCAGGTTTCTTACAGCATTTTTGCATCCCTATTCAACATGAGCAAGAGAGCAAGTGATGGAAGTGTTGTCTCAAAAGCTAACAGAAAGTGTATAAGCTTAGCCGAGGAACTAGATGTGTTAAAACGATACGAAAAAGGTGAGAGGTCTGTGGATATTATATGGAGCAGGCAATGAATATATTTTCTGAAGTGGATCCATTAACAGAACAAAGCATTAAAATTTAAATGAACTCAAATGGCCTCTACATAAAGATGTATAATGAGAAAAAAAGCAGCTGTGCAATGTCCTTTCGAGAGCTTTATTATTCGAAGGCCTAAACCATCAACTTCAGCTACACCATCAAATTCAGCATCATAAGCAGCTTCAACATCAACTTCAGGTTCTGTAACATTTTCAGCAACAGGTTTATGGAAAGCTACAGCTTCAGCCACAGTCGAACCTGATGAATTCGTTATCTGAGTAAAAACTTATGTTTTAGACTTTACCACCATTGGTGAGTTGAATTTTTGTTTTACATTCGTAAATATTATTTAAAACATATATGAACAGTAAATAAGTGTTGCTTTCATATTCATATGTAGAGAAACGACGATATTTTTTCACATGTACGCACTTACTGTTCATACGTTGGTGTTCCCAATCGTCTCGCTTTATTTAATTACCATTAATGGTTAGCTACTCCTAGTGTTCCATTTATTAACATTAAATGGCAATACTTAAAACATACATACAGGTATTTATTTTTTTTAAATTAAGTTCACTACATCTACAACCAGGGTCTTATTTTCTTCAGTTTCTTATGTAGAACCATCGTCACTCCCGAAAACAGTGCCGTCTTGTCTCCTCATGTGTGTTTTAATGTTTTACATATTATTAATGAATTGTATTGTTCATTTCACATATATAAACATTAATTCAATCAAATACATATTCAGTAATAAACAATGATAAATCTTTTGTACATATTCTTAAAAAGATAAATGACGCGGTATCCTTAACCCTTAGGCCCCGGGTGACGTTCCAGAACGTTTGCCTATTTTCCCACCATTTCTTGGGGCTTAATTTTGGAAATGTTTAATTTTTTCTGGGTTTAACCCCGCGAGGGGGGTACTGTCAGCAGCACTCTAACCCGGGGCTTAAGGGATAAATGCACACGTATATGTTGGAGGTCCCAATCCATCTCACTTTTTTTTCTTTGCCATTAGTGGTTAGCTTCTTCTTCTATTGTTCCATTTATTAACATTAACCTTTAAGCCCCGGGTTACGGTGCTGGTGACAGTACCCCCCACCCGGGGGTAAATCGAAAAAAATCTACTTTTCCAAAAATAATTCTTAACCTTTTAAAATGATAAAACAATAAAAATTAAGCAAGAACTATATATTGACCCTCTAGAAACTTGCGTGACCGTGCAGAGGAACGGAGGAGGGGGGGGGGAGATAAGAAGGCAATGTTGGTTTAACAGGTGACGCTCGTGGTCCCTACGCACTTAGCAGCTATTTTTAGCTCGCCTTTGTGTCCGAGGTGGCCAATAATGTAGGTATTTACTGATCTTAACACTTATTTGCAATAAATAATTCATTTAGAATATTTCATTTGCATAATTTTTCATAAAAGTGCTTGGCAACACTCGCCAGTCGGTCGCCAGTCTGCCTGGCTGTCTTTGTGTTTGGTAGAGCAAGTAATGCATAAAATAATAATCATTCCACAAATAAATACATTTAACATAATCATAGCATTATTTTCCAGTAATACTACACTACAATACAACTACACTACTTTTAGCAATATTACTTTGATACAACATGATAAAATGGACAAACAATGAAAATTAAACAAACAAAAGTAGGTAACTATGTTCAGGAAGCTTCCCTGTGGCCGAGTGTGTGGTGTGAGTGGCAAATAGTCACACTGGAACCTGATAACCTGCGCTGGGCATTTAAAGTGGCGGGAATAGGCGTGCGTTCTGGAACGTCACCCGGGTGCGCTGGACGAACGTTCTAGAACGTCACCAGGGGCCTATGGGTTAAATTTATATAAATTTTTTTGTACATTAATTTTACTACAGCTACAACCCAAAGGTCGTTCGTTAACCGAAAATTTTGTTAACCGAATCCATTGTTTCAATGGGATATTGGGTAATAGGTTCCAGCTCACCGAAAAGTACATATAAAGTAAAAAAAAAAAAAAAATGCAGTAAAGTACACTTACTTTGAGGTGTGCATATAGAAGGTTCCTGGTTGATGATGATGATGGGAATTAGAAGTGGGGGTGGAGGAGAAGGGAGAAGAGAAGAAAGTAGGGAGGGAGGAGAAATTACCTTTCAGGGGACCCATGCTTGATGCAGTAATTTCACCAATAAAATTTTAAGTTCACTAGGTGTAATTCAAGATTATTTCCTTTAAATCAACACTGCACTGCACTATATATTATCAATATGTTAACTAAAGTTTAGAATGACCAAGAATTTCAATGAAAAATGCAAAACTATTAAAGACACCAACAAAACAGATGCTCTCTCCACTGTTTTCTAAGTCCAACTGATGCTTTGTAATCGACTCGTGCATCTGATGGGTGCACAACAAACTAGTTCCCTGTACTGCATATATTATGAATATGTTAAATAAATGTTAAAATGACTCATAATTTTAATATAAAACTTGGAAAAATATTGAAGAGTAAAACCTTCTTGATATTGACTCCAATGGAAACGAATGTAAGCCTAGAACAGATTACTGTATTGGCGGACTAACCTACCAGCCAATGAGCAAGCCAAAACATATTGACATGTTTTCATAAGAATTCTGTTAATTAAATTTTTGTGCGTTAACCGAATTGAAGATTCTGATGGAAGGTAATTCGTTAACTGAAGCGTTCGTTAACCGAGGGACCACTGTATATTTTTTTTTTTAATTTCATGTTTGTTCAGATATTTTTCTGCAATTAATGTATTACCAAAAGAACTATTACATTTGGTGGCAGTACAGTGAGACGAATACAAAAACCAGTGAGACACTCAGAAATAATGTAAAAAATAAGCAATTCCAGTGACTTAAGTGGCACATTAAGTGAATCACCAACAAACAAGCATATACAAGAAAAATAAGTGGACAGTGGCTAGAAACACCTGCAAAATGTATACACAGAAAAACAGTGGTAACACACATTATAAAAAAGATTGCAAACACAGCAATCTAATACTCAGCTACACAACAGACTGAAGGTTACCCGACTGAACCCGAGAGCAGCCAAGCCTACCCGAGTGTGGGCTGAGATTACTACCAGACAACACTACATCACCGGAGTTTAGGAAGGTTGTGAAAGTGGTTCCAGACAAGCAAACAATCTCTTGCTTAAACAATCAAACCTCGTCAGTGCACAACAGAGATCAGCCCCAGGCTGATTGCAGCAAGAAGGTGTTAGAGATATACAATCTCCAATGAAAATTAAACTTGTACAGTGGTCCCTCAATTAACGAACACAATTGGTTCCACAGAGTCGGTTTTTAACCGAAAATTTTGTTAACTGAATCTATTATTTCAATGGGATATTGGGTAAATGGTTCCAACTCACAGAAAAAGTATACATAAAAAGTACTGTATACTGGGAATAGAACTGACAAAACATTAAATTAAAATAAATACAGTATACTGTACAATAATAAATAAAAAAAACAATAGAATACTGTATTTTAACTTACTTTGAGGTGTGTATGTCGTATTCCTGGCAGCTTTGTTTACATATCAAACAGCTGATTGTAGAGGCAGTCGATGATGACATGCCATATTCTTTACAGAGTACATTTATTCTAATGCCTTCTTCATGTTTCATAATAATTTCTGCACTGTATATTATCAATATGTTAATTAATTTCATAATGACCAATAATTCTAATGAAAAAATGCAAAAATATTCAAGAAACCAACAAACTCGATGTTCACTCCACCGTAAACAAAGTTAAACTGAGAAGCGTTGGTGGGTGATTCGATCAGCTGAAGGCACACAAAAACTGTTCCCTGAACAGTAATGTATATATTATCAATATGTTAACTAAATTTCAGAATGACCAATAATTTTAATATGAAAAATGCCAAAATATTCAAGAGCACAACTTTCTTGATATTTACTCCACTGGAAACGAATGTAAACATACAGTAGAACCGATTACTGTATTGGCGGACTAACCGATCAGCTGATGCGCACAACAAAGCGTGTTTCCCATAAGGCTGTCGTTAATCGAAGTTTTGTTCGTTAATGGAACTGAAAATCCTTAAGGGAGCTAATTCGTTAGCCAAAATTTCGTTAATTGAACCGTTCATTAATCGAGGGACCACTGTATATCATAAATTAGAAGTAAAACATAATTGGACAAACCTGTGGATATGTGGGCCAATTGGAGTAGGTTTTGAGGCCTTGACGAACTTCATCATCAGTGAGAATATCAAAGCTGGAATAATCAGCTTTATGTTTACTCAGTAGCTGGACAGTTGTGCGGCTGAATCCTATAAAAAAAAAATAAATAAATAATCAGTAGAAACGCATAAAAATATTAGCAAATACATCTTTACAAAAATACCAGATTTTATAAACACAACATTAGGAGCAACAGAGAATTTTTTTTATTTACAATTGGATTCTTTGCTTTTTGATAATTTCATTGCTGGGTGCAAATAGGGATTATACCTTGTAGCAAATGTGGACAGAAGACTGCTGCAAGAAATATGTGAATGGCTATTAGAATGTTTGGGGTGTTTCACTGGGATAGTACCTCCATTTATGGGATGATCATGTCCATAGCTGTGGGGTAATTCTCTAGAGTGCTTTGTCCCCACACCAGCACCCAAATCTCACTTGTGGCTCCTAGAAACTGAATGTGTGCTTCAGCAGCCACAACCTAGACAACTCCCTCGGCCAGGAGGCTAAACCAGGTAAAGGTAGCTCTGCACACAAAGTCTTTGGTGGCCTTCAGAACTTTCAAGTGTTGGGCCTTGGAGAGGGCATTAAATCAGGGTGGTGTCTCAAGACACCCAAGAAGGCACCAGTCATCCTCTACAGCTGATCCACGCTCCTGGTCATCTCAATCAATCCATGCAGAAGTCAGTCTCATCTAAATCAAACCTCATGAATAGGTTCCCCACTCATATCTTTTGTCATCCCCCTTGCAGCTTTATCATTCATTCACCACCATTATTCCAATGCCCTTTGGCAAGGTGCCAGTAATTACAGGTGCAGACAAAGATGATGTTGGACATTGCTGGTACCTAAATCATGAACCTGCACACAGGCTGCTCAGGACTCTGGTTGTTGGACACTGAAATTGGGTAGCACTGTCCGGCACTATCCTGAGTGTCTAACAAGACCTATTTAGGAATGCACTGGTCACCCCCACTTGAGGGAAGAGCTTAGAAAAGATAAACTAAAAATTAGCCACTCCATTCCTTGCATAGATAGCTGATGAGTCATATCTATACATGGTAGGAACACAACAAAGGAAAGTCATCTCTCTACATAGTAGGAACAAAAAACGAAAGTCACCTCTCTACATGGTAGGAACACAACAAAGGAAAGTCACCTCTCTACATGGTAGGAACACAACAAAGGAGTCACATCTCTACATAGTAGGAACACAACAAAGGAAAGTCACCCCTCTACATGGTAGGAACACAACAAAGGAAAGTCACCCCTCTACATGGTAGGAACACAACAAAGGAAAGTAACCTCTCTACATGGTAGGAACACAACAAAGGAAAGTCACTTCTCTACATGGTAGGAACACAACAAAGGAAAGTCACCTCTCTACATGGTAGGAACACAACAAAGGAAAGTCACCTCTCTACATGGTAGGAACACAACAAAGGAAAGTCACCTCTCTACATGGTAGGAACACAACAAAGGAAAGTCACCTCTCTACATAGTAGGAACACAACAAAGGAAAGTCACCCCTCTACATGGTAGGAACACAACAAAGGAAAGTCACCTCTTTACATGGTAGGAACACAACAAAGGAAAGTCACCTCTTTACATGGTAGGAACACAACAAAGGAAAGTCACCTCTACATGGTAGGAACACAACAAAGGAAACCTCTCTACATAGTAGGAACACAACAAAGGAAAGTCACCCCCTCTACATGGTAGGAACACAACAAAGGAAAGTCACCTCTTTACATGGTAGGAACACAACAAAGGAAAGTCACCTCTTTACATGGTAGGAACACAACAAAGGAAAGTCACCTCTTTACATGGTAGGAACACAACAAAGGAAAGTAACCTCTCTACATGGTAGGAACACAACAAAGGAAAGTCACCCCTCTACATGGTAGGAACACAACAAAGGAAAGTCACCTCTCTACAAGGTAGGAACACAACAAAGGAAAGTCACCCCTCTACATGGTAGGAACACAACAAAGGAAAGTCACCTCTCTACATGGTAAACACAACAACACCTCTCTACATGGTAGGAACACAACAAAGGAGTAACATGGTAGGAACACTCTCTCTACATGGTAGGAACACAACAAAGGAAAGTCACCTCTCTACATGGTAGGAACACAACAAAGGAAAGTCACCTCTCTACATGGTAGGAACACAACAAAGGAAAGTCACCTCTCTACATAGTAGGAACACAACAAAGGAAAGTCACACACACAAAAAAGGAAAGTCACCTTTTACATGGTAGGAACACAACAAAGGAAAGTCACCTCTTTACATGGTAGGAACACAACAAAGGACCTCTTTACATGGTAGGAACACAACAAAGGAAAGTAACCTCTCTACATGGTAGGAACACAACAAAGGAAAGTCACCCTCTACATGGTAGGAACACAACAAGGAAGTCACCTTTACATGGTGGAACACAACAAGGAAAGTCACCTCTTTACATGGTAGGAACACAACAAAGGAAAAGTCACCCTCTTTACATGGTAGGAACACAACAAAAAGTAACCTCTCTACATGGTAAAGGAACACCTCTACATGGTAGGAACACAACAGGAAAGTCACCTCTACATGGTAGGAACACAACTCACCTCTACATGGTAGGAACACAACAAAGGAAAGTCCACCCTCTACATGGTAGGACACAACAAAGGGAAAGTCACCCCTCTACATGGTGGGAACACAACCTTTTACATGGTAGGAACACAACAAGGAAAGTCACCCCTCTACATGGTAGGAACACAAAGGAGTCACCTCTACATGGGAGGAACACAACAAAGAATGTAGAACACAACAAAGGAAAAGCACTCTACATGGTAGGAACACAACAAAGGAAAGCACCCCTGCATGGTGGGAACACAACAAAGGGGTGCCACTCTACATGGTAGGAACACAACAAAAGGAAAGTCACCTCTACATGGTAGGAACACATTGGTAGGAACACAACAAAGGAAGAAATTCTCTTTACATGGTAAAAGTCACCCTCTACATGGTAGGAACACAACAAAGGTGAAGTCACCTCTCTACATGGTAGGAACACACACAAGGAAAGTCACCTCCACATGGTAGGAACACAACAAAGGAAAGTCACCTCTGCTACATGGTAGGGAACACAACAAAGGAAAGGTCACCCCTCTACATGGTGGAACACAACAAAGGAGTCACCTACATGGTAGGAACACAACAAAGGAGTCACCTCTCTGCATGGTGGGAACACACAACAGAAAGTCACCCTCTACATGGTAGGAACACAACAAAGGAAAGTCACCTCACATGGTAGGAACACAACAAAGTCACAACAAGGAGTCACCTCTGCATGGTGGGAACACAACAAAGGAAGTGGTGGTAGGAACACAACAAAGGAAAGTCTTTACATGGTAGGAACACAACAAAGGAAAGTCTACCTCTCTTACATGGTAGGAACACAACAAGGGAAAGTCACCTCTCTACATGGTAGGAACACAACAAAGGAATCACCTCTCTACATGGTAGGAACACAACAAAGGAGTCACCTCTCTACATGGTAGGAACACAACAAATGAAAGTCACCTCTCTACATGGTAGGAACACAACAAAGGAAAGTCACCCCTCTACATGGTAGGACCACAACAAAGGAAAGTCACCTCTCTACATGGTAGGAACACAACAAAGGAATCACCTCTCTACATGGTAGGAACACAACAAAGGAGTCACCTCTCTACATGGTAGGAACACAACAAATGAAAGTCACCTCTCTACATGGTAGGAACACAACAAAGGAGTCACCTCTCTACATGGTAGGAACACAACAAAGGAGTCACCTCTCTACATGGTAGGAACACAACAAATGAAAGTCATCTCTCTAAGTGGCAAGAATGCAACAAAGGAAAGCTCCACTCCTCTGTCTGGTAACATGGAACATTAGAACACTACTTGACAGAGGCTTGCAAAATGGGCTAGTAAGGAATTGATATAGCAGCTCTCAGCGAAAGTCACCTTGGTGACGAAGCCACTTGACCAAGGTCTGAGCATGGTACATGTTCTTTTGGAGGGGGAAGAGGAGAAATGAAGATGTTATTCATGGTTCCAGTTTTGCCACCCATACTTCCATCGTCAATAAGTTTACTGAACTATCCAGAGTCATCAGCAAAAGCATGAGGCCCTGCAGGCTCCACCTTCATGGGACATTTTCACTACTGTCATTAGTGCCTATACACCAATACTATATACACTCCCCTAGACAAAAAGGAAGATTTTTATGAAAACTTGGCATCACAGTTACAAATATCCTACCAGCAGATCAACTGATCCTGCTGGGCAACTTTAATGCTCACCATAATGTATCACTCTATGGTCCAGTGTTAACAAGTGCAACAGAGTTGGAAACTGGAATGCCCATGGAGGGCTATTGCTCACCCTTGATGCAAACACAATTTTCTGTCAGCCCAACAAACATAAGACATCATGGCAGCACCCACGATCTAAACACTGGCACCTCTTCAGTTTTATAATCATATGACAATGTGATATCCAAATTACAAGGGAAATGCACAGACCAGATTGTTGGATGGAGCACTGTCTTATCCCCACATACCCAAACACCATCATATAGTGATAATATAGTGAGAGTATCCCTTCTTCTAAGAGATGAGAAGTATTTTCCTAGGACTGTTTACATCCAATTTCTACATCATGTTACAGTATTTTTCGGCTTAAAAGACGCACTTTTTATGACAAAAATATACCTCGAAAATTACCATGCATCTTCCAGGACACTAGTCGATGAGTTGTAGCAGAGGTTTTTGAAATCAGCCCCTTACAAAGACTGTTACCTCATTACAGTACTTAACAATTACAAGTATTCTCTATACAGTACAGTGAGTTCTGCTATAACGCGTGTTTTTATAACACGAATTGGCTAGAACGCGATTTATGAATAGAAGAACGATATTTGTAAAACGAAAACGCTTGTTTGATGTAAAGCGATTTTTGCTTACTATTTCTCCAATTTTGTGGTACAGGTTGTACCTCTCTAGTCCGGCATTCTGTGGTCCGGAAACTCCCGTGGTCCAGAACGATTTTAGTTTGT